CTCGCACTTTAACGGGAGAAGAGCGAGCGCGACAGAAAAGACACTCAACTCCAAAGCGCAGAATATCAACAACATTAGCATAACCGCACTGCGCACGCGCAGAACGGCCCCGAGCCACGGCGGGCTGTGATTGGCTGCCTCGCTGTTTGGATGGTCCTCGCTCTCCGTACGGTGCGGGCGGCCTGAACCATGAGGCGGGAGGCGAGGGGGGTGGCTGGCAGCTGAGCTCGAGGGGCCGTCAGAAGCACGACGCTGAAGCCGCGGGGGCGACTGCCTCGCGCTCTCGGTTAGGGGTTTCAAATAATTCCGCGGACGTTTCCGTTTAACGGAAGCCGCTGGGAAGAGGTATTGCTCGTTGTTATTCTTTTCTGAGATTCGTTTTCCCTCCCTCCCCCGCAGGAGCAGTGGGACAAACCCTCCTGAGAGCGGTTTGTATGAGGGAAAAAGGAATAAAGAGGGGGGGAGAAAAACACATTGAAAAATCGGGGTCATGTGAAAGGGAGGCGGAGCTGGAAATGTCACGTGAGGAAGATTCTCAAGGGAAATGGAGACGGAGTATAGAGATAAAGAAAAAGGCCGAAGTTGCGCAGAGACCATACTTCCGGCTTCCGCCATGTACGGGAGAGTGGAAGGAGCCGGATTCAGAAGGCTTGGCCGATCCTTCAGTCTCTATCATACGCTGTTTCTTTGACTTACTGAACCGTGCGCGGGCGCATCTCTATGGTAATTTGTGCCAAGCGGGCTTCCGGGTCATGGTTTCTGTTTCCGGTAGGGAGTGGGAAGCCGAAGGCAAGCATGGAGAGGCAGGATCCGCGTGAAGCGTCGCTGAAGCGAAAGCGGCCTCGGTCAGGAAAGGGGTGGCATATGGCAGACGAAGATGACAGCGAGGCTGCGGCCGCCGCGGAGGAAGCCCGGCGGGCTCGGCACTTGGCTCTTCTGGCGGAGAAACCGGCCGCGGACCGTGGCCTGGAGGAGCTGGTCTTCGGGGGTGTGGACGAAGGAGGCGACTTGCTGCGGCGTCTGCAGAGCCCTTCCGCCCAGGTACCGCGGCAGAAGCCGCTCGAGGTCCTCGCCTGTTCGCAGAGGGGAGGGGGGCGCGGGCTGACGGGATGCCGTAGATAAGATTCCCCCCCCCTTCTCTCTCTGCTCTCTCCGAGAGGGGTTCTGTCTCTTTAGCAGTCTCTCCGGCAAGTGGGTGTCCGACAGGAGACGTTTATTGGACTGGGGGGCAAGAATCGGACACGACTTAGCGACTAAACAACAACAACGACTTTACGTTGTTAAGCGCTATTGGTCGCTTAAGCAGGCTTTTTGCTTGCTTGGAGTAGAAGCTTTGTGGTTCACCCATTCACAAGTCGGAGCCTTTTTTCAAAAAGAAAAAGAAATTGCTCTAGTAGGAAACGTCTAGAAGAAAAGCTTGTTTGCGCTTATGCCTGGAGAACGAGAAAACATGCATCCGACGTTTGCGGACTTTCTGTATTCTTTATAATTGTTTTTATTTGTTTTAATTAAAATTTATTTATTTTAATTGTTGTAAGCCGCCCAGAGACCTTCGGGTAGAGTGAGCGGCATATAAGTTAAATAAATAAATAAATAAAATAATGGGTTCAGTCAAACCCTTAGGCTTCATGCCCAACGCTGTGGCTATGTGAATGCCTTCCTATATATAAATGAGCCATGACTGTTCAGGAACTGTTGTGTCATCGCTTTTAAAAGACCCCAAGAAGTGATGCGACCTGTTTTCTGTACTTCTGTGATGTGTATGAAGCCAGTCTTATATCTCCATAATTATTGAACATCTAACAGGGGCAAAATCTCCATTCTTAGTTACAGTGGTGCCTCGATTTACAACCATAATCCGTCCCAGAAAATGGGCATAACTCAAAATGGTCGTAAATTGAAGCACCATTTCCCATAGGAATGCATGGGGACGGAATTAAGCCGTTACAGCATTTAAAAAACACACACACACACACAAAAAACCACACACACACCACACCACAAAACACTGCAAGCCCCATCGGAATACAATGGGGCTGCAAAAAATAGTGCGCACACCCAAAAAAAAGCACTGCAAACACACACACACCAAAAAAATCACCAAAAAACAAAGCAACAACACAGCGCAGAAACATTAAAGCCCCCCCAGCCCAAACCCACCCTGCAAAATCCTGTAAATGTACTCAGGAGCAGAAAGCAGCACCAGGCAGTCCGAAGCCTCCTCAGACGCACATAGAGTACTCAAGGTTGGGACGAAATATCTACTTTGTAGTTCTTTCGCCCCAACGGTTATTTGAATTCCCCACCTTTTTCCCTGCTCTTTTCTGGTTGCAACTCGAAGCTCCAGCCACAAGTCGAAGCAAAATTTTGCAGCCAGAGCTGGTCGCAACTTAAAATGGTCGTATGTCAAGACATTCGTAAGTTAAGGCACCACTGTATTTTAAACATTTCTATCATGCCTTCCTCCTTAAGAAGGATCCAAGGTGGCTTGCATCATTCAAATACAATATTCAAAGCTAAAACCAATACAAATACTAAAAAGGATCGGAACCATAGTAAAAGATGGCAAACAGAAGCAACATCAAAACATTTAATGCAGTAAAGAATCTACTTAAGAACTCCACTCAGGCAGCCAGTAATTATGGAAAAGCCTACTTGAAGAGGATTTTTAGTGTTGAGGATTTTTCAGTTCTGCAGAAGTCTCCATTCTATCTGAAATTAAGGCAGGCCTTTGCCTTTATGTGTCGGTTGGGGTTGGAATAATTTGTAGAATTCAAGTTAAAGCAGTGCTGAGGCTGCACCTGCTTGTTGTCTCATTCATTTTTGTCACAAATGGAATAAAAATAAAAGTGCTATTTTGGAAGAAAAATGGATTACTTATGGGCCTTCAGATGTTATGGAATGTAACACTTGGGCACTTGGCATGCATGGTCAGTGGTGAACATTGAAGAGAGTTGCTATTGGTCAACAACTGAAGAGCTATAAATTGCCAGTTTCTTTTTAGCCAATTGTTAAACTTTCTCATTTATGTTCTGTGACTTTTTTTCTTTGTAAAGATTGATGATGTGGTCAGTGGCAGCCTTCTTGAACAAGAATCTGATGGTTCAGAAGCAGAAAGCGAAGAGGAAGAAACTTGTTCCTCCAGAAAGCCAGCCTGGATAGATGAGGATGATGAAACTGAAGAAATGTAAGTAATATTCATTGTAAATTGCCTTGTGAATCTGGTGGAGTAAAAAGAGGGGTGAGCCATGATACCTTTATTAGACCAGTAAAAAACAAAATCACAAGCATAAGATAAATTTTGACTCTGTACTTTTCATACCATCAGAGATGTCATCTGAAACCTACACATTCAGTCTGAATTTACTGTACAGCCTCCATTTTGAAACTTGCTTTAAAAAAAAGAAAAGAAAGGAGCCTAGTGTGCACATCTGGAAGTTCTATATTTTTTTCTGTATTCTTCCACAGCTGTGGTACACAGCCTGATGAAGACCTGTACAGGGTTGAAAGCTAACTTATGTTTGTAATTTTTTTCATGGTCTAGTATTATCCGCTCTTGCCTTCAGCTAGTGGGGTAAAGTAAGGCTGTTACTGTAAGAAGCTCCAAATAGACTTGTCATCAAGTTAGTATATTTGAAAAAGGAGCATAAGGATGTTGCATCACAGCAGCTCTTACTTGTTTCTGAGTGGGAATACATATATGTGTTATTTGCCTAATGGCTGCCTTTTTAAGTGTTTACTAATACAGTTAAGCTCTGTATGTGATTTAATGAAATTTAAAAAATTAAGATTTCTTTCCAACATACTGCTTTATTTATTATATTTGCAGCCTTTTTCTCCAGTGAAGTCAAGGCACTTTTCTTTAGTTTTCACCACAATCCAACAGAAAGGTATTGAGTACCCTGAAGTCACCCAGTATCTGTCACAACCAAATTGAGCTTAGATTTTTTTAAAAACTTAGTCTGAGATGTAACCACTTGGCATACTTTATTAAATTATGCATTATACAACACAATGGCTAGAATGTTATGTGTGTTTACATGAGATTTCATAACATGCTGGGACTAATTGCTGCTAATTGATAAGGTGCTGGTCATATCTTAGTTGTGCAGTCAGGTGTGTGACCAGATATGTGACCAAGATGTGCCCTGTCGTATTGTCTGTTAATCACAGCAAGTTATACAACCCATGCAGGACTACCATTAGCATTCCAGCTGTTTTGTCCTACAAATTTAAATTTCCCATCTTCCTAAATTTTTAAGATGGTTGTTGTGGTTAAATGAATCATTCAGTAGTATTGTTCACATTTGGCTTTCGTCTTTATTCTCTTAGAATTGACATGACACATCGATACCGAAAGAACATGATGAAAAGTGATGCAGAAAAGAAAGTTACAAAAGAAAAACTTCAAAAACGACTTCAAGAACAGTGAGTTTTGGTAATAGTATATGAACAAGAAAATATAATCTTGGGTGAATTAAGTTTTTTGAAGGTATTCTCTAGATTTATGACAGAGTGTACATATACATATGTAAGCACTTTTGAAGCCTTTTGTCATGCTTGTTCAAAATGAAAGGTGTGTGGGGGTTGATGTGAGGAGAACACTCCTTCTGTGAGATGGGTGGGTGAAACGGAGACGCTTCTCCCCTGAGCGCCATTCATTCCACCTGACAAAGGTAAAAGAGGCAAAGGCCCTGAGATGGAAGAAACTTGTATGAAAAGAAGGGAAGAAACCAGAGAAATGGAGAAGGTAAAGGACACAATAGAGGCATTGACAGAATGGTTAGAAAAGGCGGGAAACAGGGCAGAGGGGGAAGAACTACTGAGGGAGGTGGGAAAAGGAGGAGGAGAGAAAAAGGAGGAGTTGGCAGGAAAGAACCCTTAAAAAGGATTGAAGCCTCTGAGGAGGGGGTAGTAGAGCCAGGAGAAGCCGGGGGGAGGCGGCAAAGAAAAGTCCTTCCCCTGGGGTGGGAATGGATTTGGCTAGAAAACCCTTAGACCCATAAGTGGAAACAGTTGCTGGTCCCCAGGGAAGAGGCTGAAAAAAAGAAAAGGGAAACAACAACACTGAAACCTTCCGTTGTTGGGGAGAAAAGGAAGCTAGAGAGTGGGGAAGAAAGTTAAGAGAGGGAAGAGCAAGGATAGAGAGAGAAAGGCAAGAGAGAGCCTGATGGATAACTTTACATGGGATGGAGAGGACCAAGTCAGCAAGATCTGGGAACCTGAGGGGCCAGTGAGAGGAGAACCCCTGGTGGAAGAACAGTGCCCATGTTGCCAGCATCATCAGAGTCAACCTTAATAGACTGGAAACCCCTAGACATGTATGGATCCTGGGATTATAATGTCGACAGCCCATTTACTGTTCAAGAACAAAACTTCTTCCTCACCCAATTGGATGAGGAACAAATGCTAAATCTCAAAGTGGATGTAAATAGTTAGTTGAAATACACAAAATAAACTTGATTATTCCAATGTTGAACTCAAATCCATGTTGATTGATGTTAAGAATGAACCAGAAGGAGGTCAGGCAGGCTTAGAAAAGGAACCTTCACTCCACAGTACAGTAATTCATTAAGTAGCCATCTTCTGTTCTTGCATCATGGTATGGATGTAAACATGGCTAGAATAGATCAGTGAAACAAAGAAATAAAAATAAATAAGTCAGGACAGAGAAAGAAAATTAGTAAGCCTGTGTTGCTTCCAATCTCTGTCCTAGCTTTATCACCTGTCTCATGCTCGTTCCTCTTCCCTTCTCCCTTGAAACTGAGTTGGCATTTGATATTTGTTTTACATCTGTAGTCGGTTTTTAAAATGTACTTCTCTGAATAATGTTGTGACATTTTCAGTGCTGGGAAAGTTAATATATTTCTTTCTTAGATTTCAGAGTGCTATGGGAGCAACACCTTCTTGGGCACAGAGGAGCAGGAAAGAGAAAAAAACAAAAAATGAAGGTACATGAAACTTCCAGTACCATGAATTGAAGCATCATTAAAGTGCAAAGTTGCACATCTTTAAGAAGAATGATGTTTCAGTAATGCTGAAATATACAAGAGCAACTAAATACAGTCCCAGCTTTTCCTTTGTGTTCATTGGGTGGACAGGTTCACTATTTAAAGCAAGCAAAATGGTTGCTCTATATAGGATTTTCATCATTTGCCACTCAAATTCTGCACCGTGGTTTTCCGAGATGCCATGGATGCTACAAAAACTGGCCTTGTACTGTTAAAATTTAGGTTGTTAAATTTGATGTGTTTTACTGTGCTCAAATAAAATAAATAATAAATGTTTTATTCAGGATATTTTTTTTCTTTTTTTCTTTTTAAGAGGACAGTGACGATGAAAGTGATGATGATTTGTTACGCAAAACAGGCAATTTTGTGACAGTGTCAGACTCTTTACCAAGAGGGACTTTGCAGGTAAAAAAAGTTCATTTTCATGCACAGGATCCTGCTGCTTTGTATAGTAAATCACAGTAGTGTAGGCTCATTGAATCAGTGAGGATTTGGTCAGTCAATAGATCTTACAAATGGGCCTTATTTTAGCACAGTGAGTTACAGTTAGAATACGCCCATTTTAATCAATGGATCTTACACTGAAACCTACTGTAATGAAATTTACTATGCTAAGCAACAAGATTTTGGCCATTCTGCTTCAGTTTCTTTTATTTATTTATTTATTTATTTATTTATACCCCGCCTATCTAGTCATTTCGACCACTCTAGGCGGCTTACAACATAAAGGATAACAAGTTCAAGGAAAATTTATAACAATTTTAATGACTGCTGTTGGAAAGCTGATATGTATACGATGCTAGTTGTGTTAAGTGATATAGAAATTGATTGCATATTTTGAAGAGAGATCACAGGCTTTAGGGAAAATTGACTTCTCCAAATTTGGAGGAAATAACTGCTTCTGCAAATGCACAGCATTTTTGTGCTTCAAACACCTTGTTAGCAAAAGCATCTTTGGTATGGTGAAGTAGTTAAACATGAATCTTGTCATTAAAGGATAGATCATCTGCAAATATTTTTTCACTATCTCCCACTAGTCTACAATTTTCCATAGGCATCCTTCAGTCTCAAGAGACTATGGTAACATGCTCTGAATCGAGGAGTGTCCTCTCCAGAGCATGAAGCCTGGGTAAAGTAATATGGAGGATAGGCTGTTACCCAAGCATCAGATCCCCCCTCTCCACATTGCTGAAATGGTCCAGTGGAAGGGCAAGAGCCAATACAACTAGTTCCAGCAACGTCGCAGGAGTTGGCAGAACGACACGAACTGCCTTCGGGACTCCAGCTCCGGATTTTGCCTCGAGGTTAACTCCTGAAGCCTTTTCCATGAGTGGATATAGCCACAAGGCAGTGGAGGTTTGAAATCAGAGTGTTCCTTCTCCTAGATGGGCTGCCATCCATGGCTAACAAGCCCCACCTACCCAGCCTGCTCTTTAATAGTGCAGAAGTATGATCTGACCCTTAAAACTTTCCTGCCTCCCAGTTGTTTTGTTTTATATTGCCATATTGGATAGTGACAATCATCCCATGTAGCTGAGGGCTTGTGTCTGAGTTTTCTTTTGAAATCAGCCAGAGGATGAGGGTTTTGCCAGCAAACTGGCATTTCAGGTAGCAGAAAAAGCTTGTGCTTAATCCTAACTCCTCACAGATGAAGCGCCTTATCTTAGAGTCTGGAGTATTGTCTCTGGCATGTTTTGTTTCCTTATATGCCATTTCTATAGTATTCCAGTTCTATAATGACAATGTTTGTTTTTGTTGTTTCTTTCAGATGAAAAATTGCTTGCATGCCAATAACGAGTGTTTGTCTGATACAAAGCTGACAACTGTGCAGTTCCATCCTTCTGCTCAAGTTGTTATGACAGCTGGGATTGATCGGACGTTATCACTGTTCCAGGTGAAAAACGCCCTAATATACATAGAATGTTTTTTTGTTTTGTTTTGTTTTCTCTCATTGTAGCATTATTGAAAATGCTTGGTGGAAACATACTTGTGATATCTGTCTAAGTATATGGGGTGAAAGCAGCATAAGGAAACAGTATCAGTGAAGCATCAGACTAAGGGGTGGCAGTGATTAAAAGCACATGCAGGCAAGCACGAAGGATTTGTTTGCATGAAAATAGGATCTCCTTTTTATTTTGGTTCTTCATCTGCAGTACAAGGGAACAGCAGTCCCATGCATGTGCAAGGCTACAGTCATTCATTTGGAGATGTATGTATACTTTGTATGGGTTAATTTTTTGTAGCAGATATTTAAGTTCTAAATACCTGGTAAGCTGTAAATAGCTATGCATTATGTTTATAACTAGTGATGAATATGTACATATTGAGTAGAAACAAAGCATTTTTCTTCATTAAAGGTGGACGGTATCACTAATCCAAAGATACAAAGCATCTATTTGGAGGACTTTCCAATCTATAAGGCTTGTTTCAGCTCAGATGGAGAGCAGCTCATAGCTACCAGTGTGCACAATAAGCTTTTCTACATATATGATATGATGGGTGGAAAAATTATTCCTGTTAACCATATCAGAGGTGAGAATTTAATTGTTTTTAATATTTTTGTGCTAATTGTATCTCTCCGCCCCCCACAAAAAGCTCAAAAACATTTCATTTTTATAAATCAGGGAGAAAATAAATTTTATTTATTTATGCATTTATTTATTTCATTTATACCCCGCCTATCTAGTCAATTGTGACCACTCTAGGCGGCTTTTCATATATTTCATATGTTTTGTTGTACAAATGGGTGGTTCTGTGGCATGTTGGTTGTAAACTAAGAAAAACTTGTGAAAGCAAATTTGAGCCTGTACCCCTTCCCTGGTAAACAGCTTTAATAACGTGAAGGGGATGGGCAGTAAGGCTCACATCTATAATAAGAGGGTGTTCTTACCTGGTGCTTGAAACTATATTGGTTTGTTGGCACTCCATAAAATGTAAGGGAATGCCAGCGATTACAGATGCTAAAGCTAAATAGATGTTTTGCTGCTCCATAATGTGGGTAGGAGTGTGCTGAATGCCGTTTATAAGACATAAACATTAGTATATTGAAAAACTAAGTGGCTGCCCTTGTTAGTCTGATGAGTATGGCTATACATACTGGCCTGACCATCTAGAATGGCTGCATAGTTCTAAGGCAGTACCTAGTATTCTTCAGGAGGGCAGCCATGTCAGATTGCTGCTGCCAAAACAGTAAAAAAAAAACTTGTGACAATTTAAAGGCTAAAAAAGGTTTATTGGGCATAAATATTAATTGCATGTAGCCTACTTCAGATGTAATGTTGAATATTCTTCTTTCGAACTGTGGCATCTAGATATGAAAAAAGCAAAAAGTATCTGTGGAAGTACACTGTAGAATATTTTCATATTTTTAAAAGCAGTCTCTTAAATAGCCACATGCAGGGAACTATGTTAACCCATCAAATATAAATGAAATAAAAGACAACTTTGTCAGCATATATGAAAGTTAAGCTGTTACGTCATAGGCTGCAATATTGTTTATGTTCACTGTGGGGTGAGCAAGTTCCATTAAACTTATTTCTGAGTAGTTCCCCTCAGGCTTAATGTGTTAGGTTGCAATGTTATTTGTGACTATCTGGGAATAAGTCTCATTAAACTGAAGGAGATTTACTCCTGAGTAAATATAGCACTGTGGTGTTAGATTAAGTATAGTTTTTGGAAATTTAATTCCAACACATTGTGGAACTGTAACTGCATCTTTTTTTAAAAACGTAAGGTTTAGAGGAGAAGATTGTCAGAAGATTTGAAGTCTCTCCAGATGGGAAATTCTTGCTTGTTAGTGGGTCATCAGGCTATCTGCATTTGATAACAATGAAGGTAAAACTTGATTTAAATATCTAAAAAGAATAATTCTTGATTCAGGAAATAATCTTTCATTGGCAAAACTTGTATTATTCTCAATATGAATTAATAAAGATATTTTTAAATTAAAAGGCCATACATCTAAATGGATTGATAAACTGTGAATTTCTTCACAGTGATGACAGCTAGTCTGTTTGTGCTCTAATCTGTGAGTATTGTGTTGCAATATACCAGTATGGAAGAGGTTATAGTAGTAATAGTAGAACGAGGAATGAATACACCAGTATTACAGGGAGAGGGGATAGCCAAAATAGCCCACAGTGCTCCTGAAGAAGTCTATGCTGAAACATATCAGGCCACTAATATATTTGTGAAGCACTGTAATTGTTTTTATAGAATAATTAACCTGTGAAATGGTTGTATAGCCTCAAAATATCTGATACCCTTCTCCCCCTGTCACATATGTTGTTCTGTGTAGAGTAATCATGTTGTTAAACATTATGTGTCTATTTCAGACAAAAGAGTTTGTTGGAAGCATGAAAATAAATGGGAAAATAGCTGCATCATCTTTCACTCCAGATGGCAGCAAAATCTATACACATTCTGGTAAGACTTTCAAATGATAGTATACAGAATTGTCATTTGGAGGGGTTTGCTGTTCAGTGATAGAATGGCTTAGGTTATTTTTTATTGTTACAGTGTAGAATTCTCATTTATTTGAAAAGCATAAATAATAGCAGAACTTGAAACATTGTCTTGCAGTGGGGATTTAGCATTTAGCAGCCCCTCTCCCCAAAAGCAACATACTACTGTTTTGCTATAACTACTTATTATTTGTCATGTTGTTTTTTGCTTTTTAAAATGGGAAGAAGTTTCGAAGGTAAGAAGATTGACTACATTCAAAACTCTACTAAAAATATTTTGCCTTCCAAAAAGAAACTGGTGGAAGTTAAATTTTAAATGAAATGTGGCAGCATTATGAGTTATCAAATTAGTTTGAAAAAAGGATGTCATTAAATCTTTATTAGCGTAAGAAGCAATAAAGGCAAACTTGCAAGGTGTGGCTTCCTTGTTTTGCACAGCAACATGTATTAACGTGAAAAACAATATAGCAAAATGTATAGTCCAGAATGGCTCACTTGGTGGTGAATCAACACTGCTTTTGATTTTATGTCCTAGAGTTTACGTATCAATACATTTTCTTGAAGCCATGATAAGAGAACACTAAAGCCTTGTGGTAGGAGAGGGTGCAGTTTCACGTTAAGTTGTCAGGCTGTTCACTATTCAGCAGGTTTGCTTCCTAAATTAAAATAGTTAGCATCAGTGGACTTTCATCTGCTGTTCTCACCAATACTTTGTTTTTGTGTCTTGTGTGTCAGCTGAAGGTGAAGTCTTCATATGGGATGTGAAAAGCAGGCGGTGTGTGAACAGGTTTACTGATGAAGGTTGTCTGCAGGGTACTTCAATTGCAGTCTCAAGAAACAGTCAGTATGTAGCATGTGGGTAAGTGAAGGAAAAGGCAGTATGTTAAGAATAATACATTCCTTTGAAACAGGCAGACAGCTGCCTCTATTTTGTTGCCACTTAATTTTGGTATGTACCTGGTATTTACAAGTGCCATAGTTCTGAGCGTACTTATTAGGAAGCAAATCTGCGATTTTTGTGCGGCTTTCTTCTGAGTACAAATAAGGATGGTACCGCAAGAAGCTGATTTTGGAGAAAGACAAAATAATTTCGAGAGATAAAGAGTTCAGAAATAAAATTACGAGACACATTTGCATAACTTTTAAGAGAAAATGTCCTTGGTTGCAAACAATTGAGTTCAAGTTCCAGATGTTTATACAGTACATTTCTAAAATGACTGCATTTTAAATTATTGGCTAATGTTCAGAGAGCACTTGTGATATGAAGACTTCCTTGTTGAATATCGAGCACTCCTTCCACATATTGCTGTAGAGCTTTCTAATTAAGAATGGAAGCACTGAGCTGAAACTTGGGCAGGAGAGGTGGCTAGTTTTCTAATGTCCCTACTTGTGAGTAGAACACAATTGAAGAAAAATGTCTTTCCTACCATCTGTCTCCACATGTAGTGTAAAAGTTTAACCCAAGCTAGGATTCAGTCACAGTATCTGTGTTCAGTGAAAGGATTAGAGTACATAAGATTAATGATGGTATTGCTCTCATCATCACTACTGAAGAGGTGTAGCCCCCTCCTCCCGACAGATTCTGGGATTGAACCCTGGCTCTGATTAAGCCCTCTAATAAAGTCGACTTCCAGAGATTAATCCACAGTTTTCTTCAGGAAAATCTCGCTAGACATAGATAGTGATCCCCATTTCTTCTTCCTTTAGAAACATAAGGGTACTTAATATGTGCAGCATGCATAAATACAGGGGAGATTGTTAAACAGTGCAGGCATGATAAAAGCAAGAGAAAGTTTTATAAAAGAAATTTGGCTGCAGTCTTATACTCATTTCCATGGGAGCTCATCTCATGGAACTAAGGGGGACTTAGGAAAAGGCATATGTTTTTGGCTAGCTTTGAAATATTGCTGGCATTTGCCTCTGTGCTATAGAATAAATCTCAGCTCTTTTTCACATGCTCTTCTGGAGGGTTGTAGGTGTAAATGAAACATGGAAGAGCACGAAGAATAATTTTAAATTCATCCTACATGCTTCTTACAGTTTTGCCCAGTGACCCTCTGAAAAAACATATATAGTGTTTTTGTAGTCATATTGAAGATTTTCCCTTAGAAATAAAACTTTAAACTGCAGCTATCTATAACTTATTTTGCTGCTGAGAACTCTCCCTCAATATTTCTGAATAAGCATTTGGTTGTAAATATAGTTTCTTTCTGCTGTACTTTAAGCTTTTCACATTACTGTTGTTCTTAGTTCTAGTTCTGGTGTTGTGAATGTGTACACTCAGGATGATTGCATCAGAGAAACGAGTCCTAAACCTCTTAAAGCTCTCATGAATTTGGTCACATCAGCAACCTCATTGTCGTTCAATCCCACCACTGAAATACTGGCAATGGCTTCGAACAAAGTTGATGAAGCAGTGAAATTGGTAAGAGAATTTTAGTAGGAAAGTGTGCAAGGCATGCTGAATTCATTGATTTCTCAATCAAATAGACTTAAGAACTATTTAGCCAGAAATCATATTGTACATAGCCTTGTGTTTTGTGATAGGCATTGCAGATGCTTACATGCAACATGGATTGTTATTGGGATAAAATAAATTGGGCTTGAAATTTTGTTTCTAGCTGTAAAATTTCTAAAATGCTTTTGTTTTACTTTCTCCTAAATCAGATTTAATTAATCTTGTTGTATCAAATATGACTTGGTTTAACAAGGAATCTGTAGCTAGAGATTTGGATGTTTTCCTGTAGTCATGAAATACAGTGGCTTCTTGATTCACATTTACAAACTATCAAAAGTTCTCTTGCTCATCTTGTTCATCTTCTGCTCATCCTTCCCAGCCTGTTTTTAAAGTAGCTGGTAAAAGCAAGGTGGGCCAAGTGTACAAAGAAAGTTTGAGAGCTTTGCTGGACATACGCAGACCTTTATTCAAGAAGCTCTTGGTTGTAGAGCCATCATGACAAAAAGCAACTATATAAATTATGCCTGCAAGGTTTTTCAAAACATGTATTACTGAAGTATGCTTTTACTTCCTCCTAGCAACACCTGCTATTTGATTGCTTTCTCTTTTTCTTAACAGGTTCATATGCCTTCACTTACCGTATTCTCAAATTTTCCTGTGTTCCAAAGAAAGCAAATATATTTGGCCAACTCCATGGATTTCTCACCAAGAAGTGGATATTTTTCCATAGCAAATAACAAAGGAAAAGCCTTATTATTTAGGTATCTATTAAGTTATTCAACGGAATTAATAATTATGGTGGTATTCTCAATTCATACAGTATCTCAGATTCAGGACATATCATTGACATTGTTCTTGGTGCTTAATCATAGTAAAAATTCCACATCATAATAGCATAGATTTTACCATGATTGGGCCTGTCATGTGTGTGTGTTTAGTCGTTTAGTCGTGTCCGACTCTTCGTGACCCCATGGACCAGAGCACGCCAGGCCCTCCTGTCTTCTACTGCCTCCCGGAGTTGTGTCAGGTTCATGTTGGTTGCTTCGCAGACACTGTCCAGCCATCTCATCCTCGGTCGTCCCCTTCTCCTCTTGCCATCACACTTTCCCAACATCAGGGTCTTTTCCAGGGAGTCTTTTCTTCTCATTAGATGGCCAAAGTACTGGAGCCTCAGCTTCAGGATCTGTCCTTCCAGTGAGCACTCAGGGTTGATTTCCTTTAGAACTGATAGGTTTGTTCTCCTTGCCTGTCATAGCTCACATTAAACTGTTTGAGTATTATTTCATTTTAAAAGGAGTATGTGTTCAAATATTTCCTATTTTAATAAATAGTATGTGCAGAATGTTTGTAGGCAGGACTAGATTTGCCTGAACCTAGTGAAGTCACTGTGCTTAGTAAGTGTGCCGACCACTGCATAAAGTTTGCAGCCTTGGAACTTCTTGATCTGGACTTCTCTTAAAATGTTTATTTTCACATATTATCCTAAAACATTGCACATTTTTCTTATTTTCCTTTAATGAGAAAACATACCTTATTAGATCATGATTTTATAATACAAATAGACCTACTGCTGTGTATCTCAAAAAACTAGAGCAAGTTGGCTTACAGCATTGTAAAGTGGGAATAGCTCTTAAGTTGCTCAAATTCACTCTGTTTTAACTTTGCAGGTTGAAGCACTATACAGATTTCTAAACTGCCTGCTATAGACTGAGGTAATTATCAGCTGAGGTACTACGTCTGGAGAGTTGCTGGTCACATATCCTACATTTTCCTTTTGTGAAAAGAACAAATTCTTTCAGTTTACTGGAGTTTGGTTTGCATAACATTTTTTTTCAATTTACTGGAGTTTGGCGTCAATGACAATGTGACATTTTGATCCTTAGTGAAAATAGAATGTCCCATGTGTCTCTCTATCTTGAGAAGGAGACTGAACAGCCTGGCGGTTGAACAGAGACATCAAGTTGTCATCTCATAGGCAAAAATATTCCAAGTTTTTAAAATGTCTTATTAGCAATTTTCAGTTGTATTTTTGATGTTGCTGTTAATTTCAAAGGTGAGAATTATACATGCTGCACAATAGTTGTGCCTTGAATAAAGTGATCAATTAGTGCAATCAGATTGTGCAATGTTGGCTGCCACTATGTTTTAAAACTATTGCATTTCCCAAAGCATGAATCATGGTTCTTTTGTTTATTTCCCTTCCCAAAGTGTGAATCATTTTGGGAAGGGCAATAAGTAAGTGTAATCATGAGTAAGTGTACCCTGCATAAGAGAGCTTAAAAATATAATTTATACTGACTTGAGTTAATTTGTATAACTTTTATAGGCAAGATGAAATATAAACCTACATTGCTTTCACTATCCATTCAGTGTTGTTACCGTCGTAAAATATCTTACTGATATAACACTGTTCATTATATGCTTAAGCAATAAAAGTCTGTGTAGAATGTAGTCTTTCAAAAATAAAATATGTTGACTTCCTGTTTGTTTTTTCTCCACAGATGGGGTAAACCATGTCTTTATGAAAATAGATTTTTAAAAGTTTATTACCTTAATGTTTTTTAAAATGTATGTACATTAGTATCAATACATAAATTTTTGCACATACTGGTTTCCGGTATTATTTCCCAGATATATTTAATATATTATTATATATTTAAAAGAGCACGGTATATTACATGTGATGAAGGGCTGGTCCACACCTGGAAAAGAACTTGTGGGTAGTCTTCCAGCCTGCTAAAACTGGAAGAAAACGTGAATTATAAATAGGGTGAATACTGCAGGGGAGTCGACAGTTCAATGCATTTCAGTGGGGGGGGAAATTCACCAAAAATTAACGAAGAGTCAGAACAAAGCCAAATTAAGTTTGCAAAGGTTTTACAAGGTGCACTAACTATTCCAAGCATTTAAAACAGTTTTGACCATTTTAAGACACTTTAAAAATAGCGAAAACGGAACATCGCTAAGCGAAGCGGGACCTAAACTGTCATCGCTAAGCGAGGCAAGGTCCCGAACATCGCTATACAAAATTTCCCCATAGGGAACATCACTAAATGGAGCGCAAAATCGCTCCAAAAACCTCATCGCTAAGCGAATACATCGTTAAATGAGGCAATCGCTAAGCGAGGCACCACTGTATTTAAATTTAAACCTGGCTCCTTAAGAAGCCGGGCGCTTTTGCTTTCAGTTTTATTTTTGCTAGAAACATTCAAAAAGGCATTCAAAATACAACCTTCATGACCCCACAGGTAATAAAGCAACCCAAGTCTGAGGGGATATTTAAACTAGGCACTTTCTACATAACAATGTGTACAAACCCAAAATATACCCTCAGAGTTGGGTTGCTTTATTATCTGCGTGCCTGTGGGGTTATGAAGCTTGTATTTTGAATGTCTGTCTTTTGAATGTCTCCAGCAGAAAAACTGAAAGTAAAAGCGCCCGGCCTCTTAAGGAGCCAGGTCGTTGGGTTGAAATTGGGAGCAGGGAATCTCCATATTCTCCAGCATGGGACTGCTCTACATTGTCCTGCAAAGCTATATATCTATGTGCCGCCGGAACTCCTCCCGAAGAGGGCTGTTTTTCCTTTTGGAAGGAGGAGGACTGCAGGATCAGAGAGACAACTAAGGGTAAGGAGGAATGGGGGTGGGGGAGAGCTGTGCCTCGTCAAGCCGCGTTTTTTAATGTCACAGATGAGTGGACGAGTGGATTTTTCAAGTTCTATATGTTGATGTAGATAGGAGCTAAACATTGATACAAAGAGCAGCGTACAATGTTGTTCCATGGAGCTTCTTGCACTAGATACCCAGAAAAGGATGAACACAAACATAGAGACAGGATAGAAAATCCCATCACACCAGGAGATACCAGCTAGCATGGAATTAGACTTTGGCTGAAGAGATAAATAAGATGCAATGCCCTGATTAAGGAGCTTTATCTTTATGTCAAAATTATTTCAGTGCAAAACACTGGGGTATCATGGCTGCTTTTACAGTAATATCCATGGTAAGAAAAATCTGTGTAAATAAGAAATTAAACAAGTGAATCCCTGATTACAACAGCTTGGGAAAGTATTTTAAATAAATTAATAATAATCTCATATTGCATGGACAATCAATACATTCTATAAACCGTTACTGATAGGAGGAGGGTGGTCTGAACAGATCTTGAAACTTAATTGGGACCATAGCTGGCAGAGTGGTAGTAGATAATATGGGGTTCATCTGTGCCAAAGTTTGGAAAATATGGCTGTTTTTATATATTTTTCTTACTGTATTTATTTATTAGAAAAAGTTCCCCCATTAATTCATTTTGCAACCATTCTTTACCAACACATACTGGCTTCCAGTGTGTCAATTCCTTGGTTATTTTTGCAGTGCCTACCTTTGTTTCCTGGAAAGAAGATGCTTCTCCTTACATGCTTTTCTTTGTTTAAATTTGACATTACATTAAAATGCTTACATAGGAAGTCCTTGATAAACATTCGCTGTACTGTACAGTACATGCTTGTCAAAGTATTGCATAATAATTGCCCAAACTTCTTGTTACTGCTTGAAGAAACTCAGTACTGGTGTCTCACTGAAGTGAACAGGGTTTCCATCTGGGCAGAACTGCAGCCTTTCCACAGGGCTAGGTGTAATTTATGACAGGGAGGAACAACAGAAAGAAATTGGAGCCAAAGAGAGAAGGGGAGGGGAGAAGACCCATAATGAGGGATAAAAAGGGAACAGGAGGAAAGAGGATGCCAGCACAGACTGGTGAGAATCACAAAGAGGGAGGGAGGGAGAGAGAAAAATAAGAACCATGGGAAAGGGGAGGGAGAAGGAAGCCACAGTGAGAGGACTCATGAGGTGGAGGCAGAAAGAAAGGAGTGTCAGACAATAAGGAGTCACAGCAGGGGTGAGAGCTACAAAAAAACCAGTATCTCCATCCTTCCATGAACAATTACTACTATAGTCCTAGTCTCTGGATTATTCCATTTGAAATGTGTGTGTATTTTGTGTTGTTTAAACTTCAATTTTAAAAGGGTGTGAAACTTAGTTCTTTAAAACACCTTCTGAATTATGAAAGATATATAATGCTTCTGTCCAAACACCAGGAACCGGTCTAACACGGGCTTGCAATATTGTTCCCAGATTGCCAACAGAAAAAAAAGGATGCAGAGACTGAACATTAATAACACCATTGTCAGCAGCCAGAAAGATCTACAGGATTTCCTCTTGCGTTCACTACTCTTCACAAGAAGACACCCAGCAAAGGAAAAGCCCAGAACCTGACATCTTTTCTCATCAATAAACCACTTTTCATCCAAAAATAGCAATTGTCATAAACTGTTTTTTCAACAAATATAATTTCTCATGCAGAAATTAGATGTATATGTGCCATTACATACACTTTCTCATGGGAGTCAAATTGACATATGAAATAACACCTTAGTTTTTTAGCTACAGAACCAGAATTAGCTCTGTAGGTATAGTCAGCTTGCAGTTCACACACTTGCCATGAGATTAGTGGCCTGATCCCCAATAATGCATAAAAATCACTCATAATGCAGACTTCTGGAAGCCTGCATTAGCAAAACATGGCTGGGAAACTGGGCATAGTATCTGCTTTAAGGAAATATATAAGCTGCTTGAGTCACACTTTGAATGTGAAACTTATAAGAGTCTTTAGAGGTATGTGGGAGAAATACTGTGGTTAAGGAAGGCCAAAGACTTAGTGACTCGTTGCTTCCTCTAATTGATTTCACCAGAACAACAGAAAGTTGATTAAGTAATTAATACACCTGGAATGTTTTGTGTTGTAACCACATTGAGTAGGTATCACCATATGCAATGTAGCTAGTATACAATACAGGCGGGTCGACCTGGAACTCTGACAAAGTCCAGGCTCTGACAGAAAACTCAAGGAAGGAGGCGGCGATGATGATGCTTATGAGCGCCTCGGCTCCTATGGGTGGGGGCTCAGCCGAAAGAACCGCTCCTGAGCCCCGGCCTCCCCCGCCCAGCCCTGACGTGAGCGTCACGAAGGCCCTGCAAGGCAGACTCGACCGTCACTGGTCGTCGTCCTGGAGACGAGCCCCCCTCCCCGCTCGCTCGCTCGCCCGGAAGATTGACAATCTTAGAACCCCGCCCCTTCTTTGCCCTTTGACCCAGCCTTCAATCGGAGGACGCTCCTCCGTCTCAAGCCCCGCCTCCCGTTGCCAAGGAAGTGAGGTCACATAATATGGCGGCTCGGGCTTAGCTGCGGCGAAGGGGGGGGGCGACGATCGGGGTCTCGGGGAATCGGTGTCCATCCTCCCCACCCGGGCTGCGCGGCGGCCCCCGAATCCCGCCGGCGTCGAGAGACGGGGCCAAGGGCCGCGATGGTCGCTGGCTTCGCCCTGCTTTAAGTCGGGGGTCTTCGAAACTGGGTTGGGTCCACTCGAGCCGCTTCGATGGAGCTGAGGGTCGGGAACCGGTACCGGCTCGGCCGAAAGATCGGGAGCGG